GCTGCCATTTAGCCATTAACAAACATTACAGTCAATTCATTGTAATGCATGAAACAGGTTGTACCAGTGTTTGGTGGGCCGGACCAGAAAGCCCAGCGGGCCGTGTCTTACCCACGGGCTGTAGTTTGGGCACCTCTGGTTTAAACTATGTTACATCTATACAAATAAAACCTCATGATTGACAAATTGCATCTATACACACTCCACTCCACTCTATACACACACGTCATTATCGGACAAATTGCATCTATACACACTCCACTGTGTCATTATCCTGAAGACAGACTGACAAATAGATGTTAGCAGTTTGTCCACATTCACGCCCTCAGGCACGGGTCCACCAGGAACCAAAACTATTTATTTACAATGCTTACAGATTTAAATACATGTTTATGGAGGGAGGACAAACACTAAAGAAAATACTTGGTAATACTGAACAACACACTTGCTGTTTGAGTAGACAAATAGGTTATAATTATATCCTAACATTTGCTGATTGTATTATGCACCAGTGAAAACCAAGTTTCAAAGAAAACCCAAGATCCTACCACATGATCCTACCACGAACGCAGGGAAGTCAGTTTGGAGTTTGAGCTGGAAAAGTCCCTGTTTAAAGGGCCAGTAAACCGACCACCCTCCAACCTCTGCCTCTGCCTCTGTATAAATCATGACTCTGTATAAACGCTGTAAACACTGAAAACAGAGTTGAAGGAGGGGCAGGTGAAGTTGAGTCAGTTTTTAGTCAGCCGCGCATTAAAAAGCTTCTAAAGAAATACAACTTTATAGTTTCATAGTAATGTAAAAAGGAACATCATCACCATCATCATCATCATCATCATCATCATCATCAACAGAGTGGAGTAGAAACACTTATTCTTAAAAAAACTTGAGAATGAAAGATGCAGTGATGACATCCAGAGTTTCTCCTGTTTCCTTACATGAGATCCATCAGATACTAACTGCAGTTCAAACTGGAGGTTGGAAACAAAACTTCTACAGTGACTTTTGTGAATATTCCACATTCATTCCTTGTGCACAGCCTCTGGAGGCATTCGGACTGCAGCTCAAAGAACAGATTTAGGTATACAAAGTCGCGGCATGAGAAAAAGTGCTAAAGCCTCACCCAGCATTAACCATAAACATCCAAAAAAACATAGAAATCAATCTGGATGTGAATTGTTCTTTGTCTCCATATTTGGCCCTGTCCAGAGTGTACCCCCGCCTCGGTCCAGCTCCCTAACCACCACGCAAAGGATATTTAAATGGGGACAAAACATGCTACATCTACTGATTGACATTACTTTTTTTATTAGAAAGAATAAATGAATTCTGAAAGTACAGTGGAAAATCTGGTTGGTGTTCTTCCCCCACAGCAAAAACATCTCGTTTGTTGGTTTGTACACTACTCTCTACAAATATGTGCAGTTTTTCTCCAGGCAGTCTATTATTTAATTATCCCCATTGGTCAAAGAACATGTTGTTAGGAATAAAGAAATGAAGTTCACCTTAGGTGAGAGTCTGAATGTTTGTCCTCTACCACAGCCCTAAAGATTACAGGCGGAAGATTCTTTTGAGTTTTTAGACTCAAGAAGTCCAAAGTCCAAAGTTTGAAGTCCAAAGACGACATTTGCATTTCAATGCTCAACGATAACAGATTCGTCTGCTTTGTCAAACTATTTACAGGATAGAATCAGAAGTGAGGTCTTGTGGTAACGTCCCAACAAGAACATAAAACTGCCACAGAGAGGATATTACTTATGACAGGAATTCGGCCGTGTGTAGGAGGCTGTCAGTGCTGTAAATTCCTTTGCGGCATCGGGGGGATTTAGTTGACATTCTCCATGCATCCACCGAGGGGCCGGGAGTCTCTGGGGAGGTGTCACTATTAGTTCACACAAACCCTGAGAAAATCTGGGAACTGCATCAAGCATTTGATGATGCCTTATCTGTGTTGATATATTTAATTCTCTATAGGTTTGCATAACTTATACAAGGTTATCAATCATACACTCCGCAGCAAGTCTTTTACTGCCCTCTTCCTCCCCTGCAGGGGGCACTGTTAACATCTTTTGAAAGTTTTTCTTTTGCTTGTTAGCACCGACAATCTCCATCAAAAACATGTTTATTTACAAAAACTGACTAGCAGAGCTCAGCAGTACTCCTCTAGTTATTTTTGTATATATATATTTTAAATATTTTTATTCAAGTTATTTTTAATAAATAATCAACATGTGCAAATTGAGTTTTTCCTTTTGTCCCCATCTGCAGGAAAAAGCAGGAATATCATTGATTAACCTGTCATTATGCTACAGACAAAATTTATACAATCTTAGTATTTACCTACAAGTGTCTTTAAGTTATAATTTGTTTGATTATGAATGATAGTTTGTGCTAGTATGTTTGTTCTTAATGGACTAGAGTAGACCAGTTAACTGTGTATCTTGTCTTTTGAAGAAGTGAATTAACTCCAGCTGATCTGCCACTCTGAAAGGTTACACTGCAGACAACTGTTGTCAGTGCAGGGCATATGACAAAAATGTTTATTTGTGATATGAGATCATGTCGGGTTCAGAGTCATGTGCTGAGCTTAGTGAGAGCCCAATACCAACAAATGCTTCATTTGGATGATGAAGTTCAACATGTGTGTTTACTGAGCTGTTCCTGTTTCTAACAGGATGTTCTTATCACCACCCAGAAACATGTCCAGGAAGAGGATTTCCATGCAAACACAACCATATGCATCTACACACAAACACTTCAACGAGTCACCATCCAAACATTAGGCTGTGTTTTTAAAATCTTAGCAAATATTTTACACAAGTGTTTATATTTTATTTTATACTTTTCAGTATCGGTATTGCAGTATCCCGTGCAATGGTACTGTATGTTTAGTTCAAATTCGTGTCTGTGTGGAACTAACTTTTAGTTCAGGTATATAACATTGTGTTTATCAAAATGTGTTGAAAGGTAACTACAGAAGTAATGCAGAGTGGAACTATATAATAACAGCTTGTTTCCCCCTGAAAACAATGGTTACGGAACACAACTGTTCCTGCAGGCCTTTCACGCAACTATATTTACCGTGTAGCTCAATGGAGCAGCTAACGACAAGGACTGTGGATAAATGTAGTCTGGCTGAATATATTTACAGCATCTGCTGCGTTTTAACTAAGTTTTATTTCAGTATTATACTTTTAACCTTCAAAGACACCCTAATGTTTTAGTAGCAGGTGGAGCAGTCATAAAGGTCAAAATAATCCATAGTTATACCCTAAATGGATGCAGATTGTTAACAAATGTATCATTAAAGATTGTATTTACATAAATGTGTTATTAAAAATAAAGACTTGCACAGTTGATCTGGTTTCTGACAAACAAGAATTGGTGTGAATCAGTTGTTCACAGCGGTATGCAGACTACGGCCACACCAGTTGCTAAAGTTCGTTATCAAACGAATCACAAGATTCTTTACAGACTCTTAAAACAGAACAACCTCCCTTCACTTTGCATTTCCAAACTATGACCTGTGATGCCATCAGCATTCCCGAGAAAAATGGTGGAGAAGTTATAAAAACAGATTACAAAAATGGTCACTGTAGTTGCACCATAAGGAAAGACATAAGGAAGGACCATCTGGTCCAACCAAAGCTGAGAGATGTCCGGCTGTGATACTGGCCCTGAAAGCATCAAAAGGCACGTTTGGTCTGGGAGCCATCCAAACAGAAAGATCAACACCACCAAATCTAATATTTTTTTCTAGCTATACAAAAAAAAGATAGAGCTTAATTAAGACCCAAGGCCTTAAAAAATGTGACTTTGACTAAGCAAACAGTCTGGTCTAATTTGTTTTCCCCAGAAAAGATGCCTATTCTGGGTCCTGATCATGTTTTTGCATTTTCTCTGTCTCTGTGGAAGGAAACACAGAGGAAGTGACTGTGAAGACAGGTTTAAATGCGGAATTACTTAAACCACCCTTGGGGTCAACAGCTATTATTTCAAATTTAGTTTGGAAAACCACAGTGCACTGGGGTTTTTAACTATCAAACCAAATGTTTGACCCTCTCTCTCTTTCTCTCTCTCATAAGAATTCTTACCTCCTTAAGGTTTTCTTACTATTCAATAAAAACTACAAACTAAACCATGTTGCTGTATGGGTCAGTGTGACCAGATATTCAAATAATAAAAAAACGTGGCCGGCCGATATGTATGTTAATGTGGAGCTCAACAATGAACAGACTGTGTAAAGATGGAAATGATAAGGCTGAGCGTGTACTTCAAACTGATAAGAGGAGAATTTTTACTGCTGTGGGCAAAATGGAGAAACTATGTGGGACAGGCAATGGGTACATCCCTCTGTGTATGTGTGTGTGTGTGTGTTTCAAGCTAAGTGGTGCAGAGATGAATTGGGTCAGAGCTGAGCAGAAGGACTGAGGATGATCTGGGCTTCGATTGAAAACATGTCTTAATTGTCATTTTCAAAGGGCTTTAACGTCTCATGAGAACTGCATTGTCATTTTGAATGTGAATTCCTAATCAGTTACTCTACTGATTGTTGCCAGCAAAATGATTTTATTGATTTATCCGTCAGTCGGTCCCTTTGCAAGACGGATTATAAAAACTATTGAACAGATGTTCTTGAAACATGTTGAGAGAACAATGTCTGGGCTGGCTGCCTCAAAAGAGGGAAATTCAGGAATTTTCTTCACTTTTTACATTAAATACATGCTTTACTACACTACTACTACACTAGCGGGTACATTTCTAGAAAAAAAATAAACTAGATTTTTTTGCGAGACATTTGAGTACCATGTACAGGTCTGATTTCTTGGAATCGATCGTCTGCTTCCTGATTTCATAGACTTAGATTTTCCTGATGATGTATTTGTTTCAAGATGACATCACAGCCATGCTCCCTAATTTGGGTCACAGTGGTTTATAAAGCAGAGGTGGTCTAAAGAACGGTTGCATTTCACACACAAAAAAACGCAACAAGGACGAATCAAATGGTTCATAATTCAAGTAATAATGAAACATTTGATTTTTGACCAGTATATTTTAATTCAAGTAATAATGAAACATTTGATTCGGCCTTAGTCAGAACTAATTTCATTTTTGACCAGTATATTTGAAGCCAACTACAACAATGAGTTTAAACAAATAGCATCATAAAAATAAATGTATTTGCTCGGAAGAATGAAACATAGCTTCAGTTACATGACACAACAGAGTTTCCCTTTTTGTACTTTCATTCATTCTCTCTCTCTCTGTGTCTCCCTCTCTCTCCCCCTCATTCTTCCTGTTTCAGTCCAGATCAATGGTGACCCATAATCACATGACCAGAACTACTGGGTCACCACTCCATGTGAGTGACAGAAACAGTGAGGTCGATCCATTAGTCATAATGATTTCGGATGATTACTTCTTGATTACACAGCCTTCTGTTTCATCCCTTCTGTGCTTTAACTGTATAATTTTTGTTTTTTTAAACGACAGAAGTCCAGGGTTTTCAGGATAGGAACATGTTCAAGCGTTTAATGCCAGAAGAAAAAAAAAGCCATTTGTCATCAGTGGTGCTGGGTGCTGAGTGTGGGAACAGAGAAGTAAAACAAAACAAACTGAAGAAAAGAGACATGGATGTTTCCAGTAATTGGATGCTAAAAATGTCAACCTTTATATATCAGGAATGTCAAAAACAACAGTTAGAGAAGCCACAGAGAGGTGGATAGAGATAAACCATTAGTGTGTAAAATACTGTGTAAACTAAATGTCTGACAACAGTAATTCTCAGTTTACTAGTAATTCATACTTAGATAATTAAGAATTTAATACAATTCAATGGAAATGACAACAAAAACACTCATTTTAACAACAGGACATGCAGGGAGGAAGGGGGGGGGGCAGTTCAAATCCATATTTGAAGTAAAGCCAAGGGAAGCACCAGAAAAGCCACTGTTGTTTTTTTTTTATGTGGAATACTTTTTTTTTCCACTGTTTTTACATTTTCTACCCAATTCACTCTACCTCACTTCCTCTCTTTTGTTCACTGGCTAGAACATAACAGCAAATTTTGAAAGTACTCTGAGAGTCAGCTTTATCAGTCAAAATATCTCTAGAGTAAAGATGTAGTTTTTTTTTAAGGAAGCACAGAATGATAGATGAGTAAATAGAGGATTTGAAAAAGTAACAGTAATTAGAAACCGAAACTGGAACAGTACAAGGATTATAATAGCTGGCAGAGCACTGTTGTCTGTTGGTGCAATTTTAATCCCTGTCTGTTTTAATTACACAGACATGTGGCTGTAGCTGTTGATCCTTGGTACAAACCCAGAGACGAGACATCACTGACATGCAAGTTTTAATTCCCAAATGTTTAAAATGAGAAATAACTCAGCTGTATTGACTATCGACCAAGCCATAATACATAACACAATACAACAATAGATCCCTGCAGCCTTAAACGGAAAAATTACCTAGTATTTAGCCGAAGCTTATTGGCAAGGCACCAATACCATAGACGTGGACGAAGTTACAAGGAAATCTAAAGATAACTTTGGAAACAAGTATTTCCTGCTAAGAAGGTGACATTCAGCTGTGAAGTCAGTGGCCTTCTCTATTATCCACATGATCCTGTCTTTTCTTTAAGAACATTTTTTTTGTCTTACCCAGGTCTCGCTTCGTTGGCACTGAATGGTTCTAAAATGTTCAATATGAGAGTAGCAAAGAGTAGATGTAAAACTGCTTTGGTAACTATGCTGTGAAACAGCTTGATCTCCACTGTATACTTCATTAACAGTGAAGCCAAACTTGTACGAAACATTGAATGTGTAGGTCTGATTAAAGTCACCAAACAAGCAATATATACATTCAGATGAGACAAGACAAGACAAGTAAATGATAATGAACACTACTTTATAAACTGCTACATTTGCGATGAGGTTTAGTATCTCATCAGCCTTTTTAGACAGTGTTTCTCAGTCAAAAAGAGCAAGTTTATCTCTTACACAGTTTACCCAGAGCTGGATTATTAATAGCAAATCAAAAATTTTGTTTCCATAGTGACTGGTTGAGTCCATTATGGAAAGTGTCTCCAAGACAACAACTTGCACTGGCAAATAAATGTGGCAAACAGCAGAGCAATGGGCTGAAACAGAGGTGATCTCACTATAAACAAATATAGCACAAAACTGTTAGCAGGTGGGAAACTAGCGGAATGATGGTGACAGATTCAAAGACTTGGTACATGTTAATGCAATTAACACAAATGCTGGAATTAATTGTCCCAATGATTTTTAGTCCCAGAAAACAAACTGAGGTTAAGTTACCTCAGTCATTTTGACCCACGTGCTTAGTCCTAGACTAACAAGGATGTGTGTGTTTGTGAAAGGTGCTTTCATTAAAACACCTTTGATAAACATTCCTCCTTGTGAAATTAATCATTGTTTACGTGGACACAACCTAGAGCAGGATAAAGAGTTAATTTAAAGGAGAAACCAGACTGAACCTCCTTCTCCCAGCCTCTGGACCATATAGAACTAAAGACCAAATCTGACCCTGGCAATGGTTCAGAAATGTCAGTGCTCAGTGTGTTGGGAACCAAGTCAACACAGACATCAAATAAATGATTTCTAATTTGTTTGATGTAGTTAACAGTGTCCGTCAGTTTCCACTTTACATGGAAATACTCATGCACTTAATAAAACCAAATACAACCAGAAACAGAACGCATAAAAGAAGCAATAACTCTGACTGTTTGTTTGCTTTGTTATGACACTGTGCCAAGTGTTGATTCAAATCTAAAGTATTTTATGAGGCTGTAAAGTCGTTAGAGCCACTTTCCTTGGAACTGCCTTTCCTTATGAGGCCCTGTTCAAATAAGAACTGCTAACTCTGGGGATTTATGGCAGAGTTGTTGTATGAAGCTGATGATTAAAGCTTTCACCAGATCCTGATGTTTAGGTGACAAATTGTGTCCATCTACTGTCCAGTAAAACAGCACTGAGATGAAATAATGCCTCAAACAACAGCCTGTAAATGCATTTTCATTTACATATAGACAAAAATAAATCACTGAAAGATTTGAATAATTACCCATGAACAAACAGCTTGGATGAGACTCAGATTTAACAAAAAACTTCTTTAGAGAGAGAGAACAAAATGTGTATCATTTAAAATTGAGGTTGCAATTTATAAAAATAAAAACTGAAATCTTTTCAATGTGAAGAGTTTTTTGCTTACGTTCCCAGGATCTCCTTGAAGTCATATTTCTCCTTCACGTCCGTGGTTTTCTTTTTCCAGTCATGGCAATCGTCCCCCAGTGGCATCTTCTTGTTATTACGGTCAAAAACGAAACTAACGAGGGGAAACAGAACACAAAGGCACGATATATTAGTACAACAGCAACCCTTCCACCATGCAGGAAAGAATTTCCTGTGAAACATTAAAGCTAACTTTATTATTTTTGAGTGTTTAGGAATATTTGAGATAAGGTTTCGGAGCAATGTTGTATGATACAAATAAATAATTATTAATCAGAATAAAGAGAGGTACGTAAATAAATAAATCACAGCACCTGAATCACCGCACTCACCGTATCACCAGTTTAAACAAATAGGCTTACGTTGTTTAAATCAGGCAGTAGTACGACTTAACCACAACATTATTGAGGAAGTACCGCAGAATAGTGAACGCTGACTGCTCACCATACAACTCCAACTGGTGCAATGTGATTTGTCCACCCTCACTCCGGAGCCCAATGTTTTACTCACTCAATGTGTTACTTTCTTTATCTACGCTGAATGTATCTCTACTGAAAGAACTTTAAACACGTTATGAGAATAAATTAGGTGACCCTCTAATGCAATGTTTGTTCAAATGATAGGCCTCAACCCAGGGTGGGGGGGTCGGGGGGGGGCTGGGGTTTATACATGTTGGTCAGTGCATGTCTCCTAGGGGAGTCATACTCCATACCATGTTATGATTTAACTTAAACCCTCAGGCTAGATAAACACTTAAGTGAATTTAAACCCAGGGATTTCTAAATATGTTTATTTTATTCACCCAATCTGTTTAAGGTCACAGGATGACCTGGAGCCAATCCCAGAAGTCATTGGGTCAGGAAAGGGTTTGTTCAGGACATTTCACTTTTCAACAAGTCACATTCATATCTCTGATCCATTTAATCCTGCTTGTTTTTTTGCACAAATGGGACTCAAACCACCGACCTTCTTGCTGTAGGGCAGTCAATCTATTTTTTATTTAGGTAAAACTCTAACAACTTTATAAATAAATGTCTCGTTTTTTAACCTATAGTTGATATTTATTATAAATATTTCATTTAAAGTACCAGATAGTGTCCTTGGCTCTTTACCATTACAATGCATGAGATAGTATTTTAAGTTTGAAGTTTCTTATTTCCTAAGAGAATTTCATTATTCATGTTTTTCCTCAAAACACTGAATGATTACTAAGGACCCTGCTGTCACAGCTGTCATCATCTAAACGAAAGCAGTGCCTATAACTCCAGACCACGCAGACCAAAATAGCCCCGTTCATATCAGCGGGCCTCTCTCCTCCTCCTCTGTCCCTGCTGCCTGCCTGGCAACTTCACAGTCTGCCTATGAGATGTAACACAATGTTCTGGACCGTACAATGTGCCGTTATGTTAAAGAAGACAAGGTTCAACATTTTGCTGCTTAGTTCAGTGATGCTGGTTGTACCATCAGTTCAACGCACTAAAGGGCTTATTAGAAATGCAAGTGGCCTTTCTAATATTTTGAAGAGTCAGGTGTAGCAATTTTCAAAGCAACATACAGTTATGTTCACAGAGCTAATTTTATCTGCTTTATCCAGAGGAAAAAGGAATTAAGGTTTTCAAACCTTTTTTTAAATAAAAAATGTTAATGAACTCATTAATATAATTTGTGATTCTAAGAAGTTGCAATTTAATTAATTTAATTTGAACATCAGTGTGGCTGTTGTACATAAAAAAGGACAATCCATGAAAAAGCCATGGCACGAATGTCCACACAGACACACACCGACGGCGCTCCTGCTGCCGCTGCCTTTAATAATGTTAGGAATTGACTTCATACTTGTCGTCATGGAAACTTAAAGGACCTGTAATGGTATCTGAGAGTAAATCGCCTCAGTATTTAATGGTCACTGGCAGCAAATATTGAAGTTATTTTGGTCACTTGGATTGTTGGTCTCTGCAATTAATGCTCAATCTTAATAGGAAGCCAAAGAAATGTGGGAAACTGAACCATAACGGCCTTACTATACTAGTGATGTTCTTGGCCAAAATCCATCGCGGCCTGGATCACTTCTCATGCAAACTGCTTTATTGTCACATCGAAGTAATGATCTTTATAACATAGTTTAAGTACAGTTGCGACGAAGTGCAGATGATCTGAATAGATCACCCCCCGCTGGCCGCCGTTTTTGCTTGCATCATTACAACATCCTGTTTCCACTGCATTTTTACTGTGATAAAATTATTTTTCAATGGTCAAATATTCAGTGCATTCCTAATATATACTGTAAAAGCATCCCTCTACGTCCATCTCTGCACCTTTATAAACTATTAGAGTCTTATACATTAAAATACTGAACTAAATACTTTTTAGCATTTATTTTTAAATATTTGTGAATTGACTGATATTTTCGAACGTAATTTTGTTTTAATGAATATTCTGTCTCCCTACAGTAACAACTACATAGTAAACAACTGATTGAGAACACATACACACACACACACACACACAGAGTAACTAAGGATGAAGTGCTAACTGAAGAACGTCTTGTAGCTCCTAAAGTTAAGTTGTCAAACCAAATGTTTTTTCTTGTTCAGGGTTATTTGTAACAAGGCTACAAGCTGGTTTCTCCTGTCCTATAGTGACTAAGGCTAAAAACAACTAAACACTTGTTTTTGTTTAGTTCAGATAGACCCCGGTTGAGTTCCAGTTCCAACTGGAATCTTTCAGGGATTTTGGTCTGTGTTTAACAAAACAACATTAAGTGGAACCAGAGGTCCAACGCCCAATGTCATCAAGAGTGGGCAGTACTACAGCACGCTCCCCACTGGATTGCATTCCAGGTTTCCTAAACCTTCTTTCCTAATTCAGAAAAGACAACATTCAGTTCTTTCAGATCCACTGGCACGTTTAGATTCTATTTCTCCTTTGCTACACACTCTTGTTCACAGACTTAACAGACGGTGTAACCGCTAAAAGTAGCTTTATGTCTTTTGTATTAATTTTATTTTTAAAATCAATACATGCTGTAGCTGTGCAGTGTTGACGTAGGTAAGAGTATATATATTTTTGTAGTACGTCTCTAATGACGTGATATATTAAAAACGCCTGCTGGAATCTGATAGAAACTTCCTATATACTATAGTAAAGCATTAACAGCCAAACTTATGTGTCATTTAAATTCATATCTTAACCATTGTATTTAACTTCCTTAGCAGCAGCTTCAATGTCATTCAAAACAGACGACTTAAAAGGAAGTAGTTGGTCTTTCAAAATAAGGGAGAAAGCCACACAGACCATCATTTAGTAAGAGGAAATACACAGAGGAAGTCTAGACTTGGCCTCTGCATCTGAACTCTACGGACTACTACAGAAGGACAAACACACAATACATTGTAGACTGTAACTAAATTCCTGAGTACATCTTGACACAGGTTTCTTTCAGTAATTGAAACTGAAAAATCCATTACCAGATATCATCCTTTTTTTTCCTGGAAAGGTATTATCAAAAAACAATCTGAAGTGGAAAAATGTAACCAGCATTGTAAACAAGGCAGGTAGTAGAGGTTGCAAAAACAAACAAAATATATTACCAGATATCATCCTTTTTTTTCCTTGAAAGGTATTATCAAAAAACAATGGAATTCAGTGGAAGGAAGTTACTAAACCAGGGCTGCAGGCAGCATTGACCAGAGTTTAAGTCTGATGCAATGATATAACATGCATTTGCCCCTCAATCGTAAAAGACTTATGAAATGTAATTTTACTTTGGAGGCAAAGAACAGATTATGGGGAGAATGGATCTTTTTTGTCTGTTTTTCTCTGAGATTTAGACAAAGGTTTATTAGCTTTTGAAAAAAGCTGGTCTGATTAGTGATCTTAAACTTCTGCTTTTCTGTCGACATCTGGGTGTTGTAGCTAGTGTTAGCCAATGCTTTAACTTTTGAATATCACCGTGTTGTATTTGTTTAAAGAAATATTTTTGATCTATCATTGTGTTTACACTAGTCAGACAGATTAGTACACTTTTGAAAGCAATTGGAAAAACAGTTACATGTAAAAAAAATGTGGTGAAACGCTTGTTTGTAACGTCTCACCTTGGCTGTTGTAGATTGATGGAGATTCATGTAAATTCATGCGTGGAGACATGATTATATTAAACATCAAAGTGTTTTCAAATGTATGAATGCATCAGCCTCCACTTTGTTGCTTGTACTGGTTTTTCATCAGGTTGGCACTATGTCTACATGCAAGTAAATTGAATTCAAGGCACTTCAGTGGCACAAACGTCAAGCTACGTCGTCTGTAGGCAGAGATTAAATCTCATTTTGAAACTGCACATTCCAACATGATGCCAGGAGGTTTGATTCAAGACCAGATATAGTATATAATTTGACATACTATATAAATAGGTTGCCATTCTTTGTGGTCAAAGACACAACATAACCTAATTTTGGGACTAACAAAATGGAAAATATATTTTTTAAATTAACTAATGTTTGTTATTTCACTGGCCCTTAAATCGTGATAATTAAAATATGAGGGTAAACATCACAGGTAGAATTCTATACTTTTGTAAACAGGCTTTTTTTCTGCTATCACAGTAATCACAGTGACAATAATTTAATGTGCCGAATCCACCATACAGCCGTTACCATGGCACCTGTCCACAGTGATGTGAAGGGCTGATGGTGCTGAGCACACTGTCTCAACAACAAGGACAGTGGATGGTCACAAACTGCCTAACAATGACCAAATGGAGGGTGCTGTGTCTGGGGTTTAGGAGACGAGGAAGCACATTAGGGGTTAAAGGAAAAGAGACAGACATGCAAATCACACTAGAACAGAGCTTCCACGTCCAGCAGTGGAAGCAGACAAGGGGCATTGAACTCAGGGAGAAGTTGGAGAGGAGTGATGAAATGAATGCAAAAAAACAAAACAAAACCTCCATTCTCACAATCCTAAAATGATGACATGCAGCGTATGACCCTTAAAAAGGTCAAAAGAAAGAGACAGAGTGACCGTACTCACTGATTTCCCATCCCTGTGATGTGCAATGAACGGAAGAAAAACAAAAATACACATAGACATGGTGACAAGACTGTTTGTAGGTGTTTTAACACGTGACACTTTGGGAGTTAAGACCTCTGGGAACACAAACAATGAAAGAAAAGACAGAAACAAAAAACTTTTTGTCAGCTTGTCAGAGATAGTTTTTGACTAAAAAGCTGCCATTTCTACTGTAAGTGATTTATTCATAAAAGTGGAATTGATGTCGAATGTTGGACAGAATTTAAAAGGAACGATAAAACATTTTAAACACACCAGGACAAAGACCGCTTCAGAGACCAGATGTATTCTGGGATATCATTTGTATTTATTTATAACCGGACAGTTACAAGAGTCATAAAATGGTCCAACAAATAGCAGCTATCAAATGTCTTCCACACTGGTGCCTTTATGCTCTTTCAGCTGTCGGATTGGTCAGTTGCCATCAATGACGCACAACAAATCTCCTCTTCAATTGAGCCTATTAATTGATCAGCAGAATTACCCTTGTGTGTGTGTGTGGGTGTGTGCAGTGTCCTACCTAATGGAATTTCTGGCATTGCTACTAGTCTTTTTAAGACCTATAATCCTTGTGTACACCAAACCTGCCCTAATGAGGAAGAAGAACCTGGTTTAAAGTGAGGATGAAGTTGTAAATTGAATCAAGGCTGGGATTGAGGTTAGCGTTACCTGGTACTGGGTAAGGAGTTCTGAGTTCTGAGTCAAACTGAAGTTCAGTAAAAATAAATAGGAGTCAATGCAACATCTTTAAAATAAAAGATACACAGATATGTGTGTGTGTATGTGGTTGTGAGGAAGAGAGCGAGAGAAAACAGTGGGAAAAAAAGACAGGAATAAAAATGGGAAAGTGAACACACACAAAACAAATCTATAAATACACTAGCCACTAAAAGGAGCACAGTTTTCTATGGCTGCAGATGGTCATTAGTTTGACAAAAGATTAACGAGACAACTTGTTTTTCCATCACTCTCCGACTCGTGGATAAAAACAATCAATAGATTGTGGAAATTTTGAATCATGACGAATGATGTCATTAAATATTCTGTTTACTGACCATGGGTATTTTAGTTCACTGTGTGACGGGCAAAGGATGAAATGACAGAATATACTTTAATGCATCAAACTCCCAACATCTGAATGTGGGACTTATACAGCACAGATTTATGTGGTTAGACTCATACTTGATCCTCTAGCTGTCAATCAAATGGAGTGTTCAATCATCATTAGTCACAAGACTATAGGCTGATTATGACATGTTTTACAGACATTTATATCGACTTATACGTATCTTTATATATAACCTATGTACCCACCGTAAGGCTTGATTAGTGAGTATATCACAGACTACTGGTTGACACTTTAGTCCTGCAAGGTGACCTACACACATCTGGGTATGACATGTGTAATGGATATTGTATATGATCAGTATTTGTCACTGTTAAAGCGCTTTGAACAGTGTTCGCGCCTAGGAAAGTGCTACGTATAAATATGTAATGTATATAAATAGAGACTAGATAACCTACAGTGTGACATTTCAGTGGCCAGCGTTGTAAACCGCAGCTTCAGTTACACAGACACACAAAGGCGCTTCTGTCTACATGTAAAACAAAGTATCTTATCATTACGGTGTTCCAGCTCACTGCTACAGCCCCTCCCACAGAAACCTTAAAAACAAATTTTAAAGCATAAAAAACAACAGGGTATCAGAGTAAATATCCACGAGGATGCATTTGCAACGTATATTGAAATGGTAAGGCAATGAACAACCAGAGGCAGTGAAAGTCAAACAAATATGAAACGCTGCTTCAAAGACGGAGCTATCAAACTCACCCACAACGGAAACTGCGCTCGGACATTTATGACCTGGAGTCTAACATGAATTATGTGTGGGCCAGGGTATGCGAGGTGTCACACGGACTCCTACCTTAAATGTGGCGGTGTCTGTACTCCAGTCTTCGGTTCTCAGCGGCCACAGTCCGCACATGTAGGGTGAGTGAGCGTAGGTGTGTGTGTTCAGCTCTGAGCGGTCTCTCACACTGAGTCCTTCCTTGGCAGCTTCACAAGCACAGTGCTTTTCCTGACGTCATCAGAGTGAAGTTAGGGAGACGCACCAATCGCAGGTCGAGCTGTGGAGGCCAGGTGAATTGTTTTGCAACGCTATTGGTCGCTACTCTTCACACACCCCGAGCGCTGTTTACTTGAAGATGAGAGCAGGTGAGAACATAGGCAGACACTACGGCTTTTCGTTTAGTTCGTATATCATATTTTTGTTTAAATATTATTTCTACAAGCTTTACACAAATCTAGAAATTTCCTCGCATCCCTTCTAATGCACAATATGGATAGAAAATGACCTACATTCATTTTCCATGTAATTTCATGCTGAGTGATTTTTTTATATATCTTTTTAAATGTATGTTTTCTATCGGTGCAGGCCATTAGTTACATCTTTCCATTTGTATTGTAATCATTTTTAAATGTATGTTTATAAATTTATTCATATTTAAGTTTACACACATGGGTCAAAAAACTCTTTTACCAAGTGGGATTTTGAATTAAATCACTTCCCATTATAATAATATTTTACTTCTTATAATGACTTAAACTGTGTGTCAATTACTGTGTCATTTACACATATTATATATTAGTCTGATAACAGATACGATCACATCAGTGGAATACAAACTGATATATATATTTAATTTAAACTTAGGTTCGGTCAATCTATAGTGAGCATCTAAGTGGACTGCATGTATCCAGGATGTGGACTCTTCTATAGCAGTCAATAGGGATTTACCCTCTCCCCCACCCGTAATCCTGCCCTTCATATATAACGGACAAGAAGACGTATGTAAACTCTGCTGTGTCAGCATGCTGTGGTTTAGTGCGCCATCTAACGGATTACACGAGCCGATTAAGATTTTTTTTATCATGTCCGGTAAAATCAGCGTTGCTACTTCTGACGCACTATTCGAGGCTGAGCGACATTAATGACCGCGTTTGATCATTTCAAAAGTGCAATTAATCTTGAGTGAATTTGTAAAGATGGTGCGGAAAACTAACCTGGCTTTTCATTTAGCTATTCCAAAAATAATATAGGCTGTGTTAAACCCCATATATCTGCTTTATTATATTTTATTGCACTAATTTAATCTTTTTTAATGCATCGATTGTCAAAAAAACATAAATGATTAGAAGTGTGTATACTAAATAGGCTTTTAACTAGAAATTTGGAAATTAGGAGAAACGACCATTTGAAGTTTATTGTCGGAATTTGTGACAGTAACTGGACTCAATAACGTATTTTGTTATTTATACAGTTTTAGAACTTTTCACAATTCCTATTTACAGTAGTTTGTTTTGCAACTATATCAACAATACTGGAAATACACGCTGGGTGTCGCTGTGGTTAGAGTGCAGCTGTATTTCGCTTCAGCCTTATCATCTTTTAATCGTCGTCAGCAGTGAGCTGACAGTTGCCTAGCGATGAAAAACCAAAGCTCCTCTGTCTGCGCTGCTGATTTCTTGCGCGTTGAAAAATCTCGTCGCTGTCAACTTTTTTCACTCCATTTAACTCATCTGTGATGTTTTTATACGAGTAATAAATGCCACGGATGCGATGGATTCTGTGTTTACTTTCGCGGTGGTAAAATACACGTAATGAAAAGCTGCGTGAAGAATGAATAATTACACTTTCCTCATGGTAGTTGGGAAAGGCAGCTATGGAGAGGTAAACCTGGTGAAACACAGATCGGACAGAAAGCAGGTACGTGAACAAAACAAAAACTCCACACGCCTTATGTGTACCCCTTACTGTTAAATATGCTGTTATTGGTATTTATATAACAATAGAACACGGTTTTACTGCCTACAGAATTAGCTAAAAGTTAGCTGGAGTCGGCTAAAGCTCACAGATACATCAATACTTTGGGTTGTTAGGGTTTTCCTTTTACAAATCGCAATGAGGTGTTTAAAACGAAGCAAGCATGGGTGATGTATAATACATGGTTGCTGAGTGTTTATACATTGTCATAAACTGATAGATGTGTTGGATATTAAATTGGATTAAACGATAACAGAATCGTTATTTAAGGCAGACGACCACATAATACACAATCTAACAATAAAAACACATTTTAATCCTACAATTTAGACGATAGACGAAGCATCCTGCTTTAATGTATCGATTATATGAGTTCAAAGTCCATCAAAGATTTATTCATTTAAATGCAGTGTGTGTATTTAAGTACATATGTATATTTAAGTGTACACACAGTCCTTTGCTCCTTGCACACATCAGGTTAGGTCACAGTTTGAGTTTTTTTTATTTGATTAATGCTATGGATTTGGCAGCAGCTGGCACTTTTTCAGTGAGATTTCTGTGACCAAAGGATTTGTTTATCCCTGATGGACATCATATAAACTTTAAAGAAAGACAGCATCATGTGTCCTAAGTTTGCTTCAGACACATAATCAAACATATTCTCCTCAGAAGTAGCGTAAACAACACTGTTTAATGAACACCAGTTTGTTGTCAAATCTTTGTGGGAGAGACCTTGCTGAGACAATACAACCAACTTATGTGTTATTACTGGGCTTAGTCATACCATATTGAATGACATGTGGTATGACACTGTCTTCCACATATGAACTTCAAACACAATATACAAACTCCTGTGTTACAGCTCAGCTCAGTTCCTGTGTGTGTTTTAGTATGTCATAAAGAAGCTGAATTTAACCACCTCCTCCAAGAGGGAGCGACATGCTGCAGAGCAGGAGGCACAGCTCCTGTCTCAGTTGAGACATCCCAACATTGTGACGTACCGAGAGTCTTGGGAAGGAGATGACCGCCAGCTGTACATTGTGATGGGTTTCTGTGAAGGTGGTGACCTCTATCACAGACTGAAACAGCAGAAGGGTGAACTGCTGCCTGAGAGGCAGGTGGTGGAGTGGTTTGTCCAGATAGCAATGGCGCTCCAGGTAGGTCTCGTTCACCAAAAGACGCCTGCTATCTCAACGTGGATGTAGCCTGTTTAAAAAACATGTCACTTTTTTAGTATCTGCACGAGAGGAATATTCTCCATCGAGACCTGAAAACTCAGAACATCTTCCTGACAAAAACCAACATCATCAAAGTCGGAGACCTCGGCATAGCCCGAGTGTTGGAGAACCAGAATGATATGGCCAGCACGCTCATAGGAACTCCATACTACATGAGTCCTGAGCTTTTCTCCAATAAACCCTATAACCACAAGGTATTTGGTTTCTCAGCCCTGAATTTGTGTTAGTGATTTTACAACAAAACTGAATGTTCTCTTTCTCCTTCAGTCAGATGTATGGGCCCTGGGCTGCTGTGTGTACGAAATGTCCACGCTGAAACATGCATTCAATGCCAAGGATATGAACTCACTGGTTTATCGAATCGTAGAAGGGAAAGTAAGTCTTACTCTTGAACTACTTATGTAAATAAGTTAGACAATATATTATTGTCTGTAACAGTAATATTTATAAATTCCAGTCAAAAACAGATCCAGGACAGAGAATAGTTCCTTGATGCATTCATTAAATGTTTGTCTCACAATCTTTCAAATCTCCTTTATCAGCTGCCACAGATGCCCAGTCGATATGACCCCCAACTGGGAGAGTTGATCAAGAACATGTTGTGTAAAAGGCCTGAGGACAGACCTGATGTCAAAGTTATCCTGCGGCAACCTTACATCAAAAAACAGATCGCCATGTTTCTTGAAGCCACCAAAGAGTGAGTCATCTTAATCTTTTTTTTTTCTGTGTCCTGTATTTGGTTCAAAGCAAACACATTTCAGTTAGTGTTTTTTTTTTTTTGCTCTACAACAGGAAAACTGCCAAGTCGAGAAAGAAAGCTGTAAATCCCACTGTCGATTCCAAAGCCAACAGTGAATCATCTGTGGTGTCTGTTCAGTCAAAACCTGAGAGAATGACTCCAAGTCCGCAGAGAGAACCTCTTGCTAGGGGTAAAAGGGTATGTAACTATTTTTGAAAAGTCGCACAACTCAATGACTTCTCTTGTTTAGAGAAGTCATTGAGTTCAAAGTAAACATGGTCAATAGTCAGAGAGGAGTCCATAACACATCCTCAAATAAAGAGTTTACAAATAAATAATCAAACATGCATTTAACCTTGTCAACCATTTGTTTAGGTCCACAACATGAACAGTCATCAGTGTTTTGTTAAATTCATTAATCCCTCAGAAAGAAGACAAACCACTGCAGCAGGTCAGAGTTGGGAACGGCGTTCCCAACAGCACTCCAGTCCAAATAATTCCACCAACAAAACCTCCTTCACCTGAAGCTCTGAAGGGAAGCTGCGTCTCACTGGCAACTGTCAGCAACATCACTATTGACATCCCACCACGGGAGGATGAGGAGTTGTTGAAAAAGAAGACCCCCTCAGTCCTGTCACAGCAGCAGGCCGCTAATGATCATGTGACTCACAGTGTGCACAAAGAGGGCAAGAGAAGAGGGAAACCAGACCCTTCTCCGCCCCTGTCCCCTGGTAAACTTCCTGTGAGGCCAGTATCAAGTGTTGGCAGTCGAGGAGGAGACGACAGACAGGCAGCCAATGAACTGATGGACATTGAGCCGAAGCCCGGGGAAACATTTTCTATCTTCAGGGAGAAGCAGATGTCTATTGGAGATGACACGATGGACTTACTACAGGAGGCTGGCATGCAGAACCCAAAACTAGAAGTGGAGAAAGGAGATGTTTTTTCTATGGCTGAGAAGAAAACTGCTCAGAAATTTAATACAGAAAACACTGGAGGGTGTGAGGAAATTAATTTGCACAATAAAAATGAAGTCATTACTGTTTTTAAGGGCAATTCTGCACAACTGATGTTCACCTCAGACAATCAAGTAAGTGTTTATAGGTTTGAGCTGAGTTCTCCTGCTGCTGCCGTTGTGTTTTTATATATTTGTTTTATTTACATTCTGCACAGGACAAATTAGAATCTACTGATAAACTGTTAGAGCCGCTCCCTTCGTCACAGGTAAGAAATATGCTCACTAATGGAAACCCACTGACACAAAATAATTTTCAGATTATGACAAGTTTTATGTTTTTTAGAAACATGACCTGGAGGAAAATTCAAGTGTGACCAGCCCAAGTCCAACACCACCACAATATTCATCAGAGCCTACTGTGTCAAGAGTAAGAAGAATGTTTATTTTCCCTTAAGAAATTACCATATTAATAACTATTAATAGTAAGGGAAATTAATAACGTAACTATCTCAGACTTTTAAGTCCAAGGTAGCTGCTCCCAGACCTTTACCTCCTTGTCCTGCTGAGAGCAGTATCACAGAGGGTCGAAGAAAGAACAGGAGGAGCACAAAGAGCAAGAAGACAGATGTGGTTGAGGCCTCCTCATCCCCGAGCTTCTGTAAGAAGGGACTGCTTCCACAGCCACAGGTTAGAAAGCTCACCTTCTCACTGTAACATGTGCAGTCAATACTTCTCCACCTGCTGCCAAGTCAGGGGTTCTCATCCACCCTAGGAAATCTGAAAAATAAATGACTAACATTCCTTTCAAACATATGGGAAATGTGGAAGAAAAGTATGTCTTCAATAGGCAATACTAAAGCAAACAATTTCTCTGCACCCTGTATACTAGCAGCTGATTATCAGCTATTTAAATTTAAATGTAGCGTCAGAGCAGCTCACCAGTTTCAATCAGACAACTACTATCAGCATGTAGAAATTACTCATAGTGTGTACAGCTGGTGACCCAACACATGACTTAAACCATTTAAGTCTCAAGATGTCTAATAACTACTTTACCCCTTACTTTATTTAATCACATTAACTTGCACATCCACTGGTGAATTGTTAATTTAAAAGACTAATTACATTATAATTTACATTAAAATTACATTAACATTTTTACTTTCAGGTCCGTCCTTTGTCTGCTAGAGAGAGGAGGAGGCTGAGACAGTCCAATGACATCAGTCATCCAGGTAGCCAGTTAGATAGCAACTTAAGCTAACTTGCTTAATATTATTGTATTTATTTAAATGGTATCTTTTATATTT